ATATAATAAAAGCTGTGAAGATGATTGGAACTCAGTGAAATTTGAAACAAAAATCATACTCCTCACTAAAGAAAAGCATCTGAAATCATTGCAACAATGCCAAGTTCCACAGTAATGAAGACAAATGTATATTTAGTATTTTAAAAAAATAAACATTATCCTGATGAAAAACATCTGTTTCTGCTACAAGAAGTTATAAAAATGATTTTTATAAAAAATAAACCTACCTTATAAAGATAACAATAGACATATATGCACCAGGGAAATTTTAACAAGCCTTTCCTAATTATCCAAAGCTGAAAGCCAAGACAAATTGGCTGCAGATTATATCAAATTATCACTTGGATCATATAAATGAGCAATTGGTTGTTGTTCTGATGTGCCACTGAGTTCTGAGTCATAGTGACCCTATGTGCAACAGAACGAAATACTGCCCCGTCCTGCACCATTCTTGTAATTGTTGCTATGTTTGAGTCCATTATTGCACTGACTGTGTGAACTCATCTTTTTGAGGGTCTTCCCCTTTTTCACTGACCCTGTACATTACCAAACATGATGTCCTTCTTCAGGGACAGGCCCTTCCTGATAACATGTCCAAAGTACATGAGAGAAAATCTCACCATCCTTGCTTCTAAGAAGCATTCCTGTTGTACTTCTTCCAAGACAGATTTGTTCCTTCTTCTGGCAGTCCATAAGCAATTCAGAAGGTCTCACATAGTTATTAAACTAACTAGTTGATTTCCCACTTAGTACATCACAAATAAATGAAAATACCTTTTCATTATCACTGTTGCTTCCCCAGGCTCTGTTAGCCTGAGGAAGGAAAATCAAAGGCTGTGGGTAAAAACATGAACATTGTTAACTTGTATTGGATTGATGATATTTCAGGGGACTCACTAGGACCCTCAGCCCTCCTCTCCAGTTTTCCTGGCAGGAAAATCTAGGGGTGGGATACTAAAACTCATCTACTGCTCTACCATGTTCAGGTGCACCTATAATTTGATGCTACCGCCCCATCTGGCCCTGGCTTTCCATTGGCCTGGCTGTTCCACCATTGTGCTGGTTCTCCTGATACGTTCTAGCCACACCTCCCCATACACTGCCCCTTCGTCAGTGTTTACAAGTTTTCCCTGAGGTGAGGGAGCATTTCTCCTCAACAGTAGCTGGCCCACCAACCAGCATAGCCTTATTTTCTTTGTGACTCGGGATTACAGCCCTCTCAATCGGCTCCTAAAGCAGGGTGAGCACTAGGCTTTCAGTTCTCCTTTTAGATGCCTCTTGAGAAATGTGTAACACATTTTCCAAAGGTTGGTGGGAGGATATTTTATTGGTATTACTACACAGTATCACCCTAAAGCACTTCTCCCTGTTCACAGTGAAAAGGGGTTGTTAGAAAAAGCTATGGAACTGAGGCTCTTCCTGTTCTCCTATAGGGTGCTGTGGCCATAGGAGGCAGGCTCTGCAAGGCTGGGGCAGTCAGGGTATCTGGACCCTTCAAAGTGAACTTCACTCTTTCTCAAGTCTGCTGGATCCTCAGGTAAACACAGTTACCCCTGTTTGTCTCTGTACATGTTCAACACGGGCATGTACTACATGTAGGTTTTTAAATTGCTTATATATGTATAAAAGAGCCCTCATGGTGCAATGGTTAAGTGCTTGGCTGCTAACTTAAAGGTTGGTGATTCAAATCCATCAGAGACTCCATGGGAGAAAAGACCTGGCCATCTGCTCATGTAAAGATTATAGCCTAGAAAACCCTATGGGGAAGTTCTACTCTGTACTATAGGGTTGCTATGAGTTGGAATTGACTTGATGGCACAGAACATCAACACAACATGTATCTGTTATTATACCCATCAACTATGCCGACTCTCAAGGTGTGTATGTGGGGATAAAGGATTACTCTAAAGCCAAGTTTCTAATCTAGTAGCGATCTAGTCAAATTCTGACACACTTAATGTACATTATCCATAACCTTCAGATGATTTAAAGGAATAATTGTATATTTTGCTAAAAAAAAAATTCCTCCCTTCTTTCCTCTGAATCAGTATAGATCTTTTAATTCAACACCCTGGAATGAGTTCTGTTGTAAACTGTGCTTGAATCATTCCAGCTACTGGGTTTGGATCTGTTCTTTTCTGGCTGCATAACCTCAGGCAAGTTACCTAAGTGTTTAAAGAGTCTGCTTGTCTGAAAGATACTAAAAGCAACTTTTCCATAGGCTGTTATGAGTATCAAATAAGCCAATATATGTAAAGAATCTGACATGATGTTTGCTATATCATCATATGAATGTTGTTGTTGCTGTTGCAGATTGATTCAAAGTCACAGTGACCCCAAAGGGTTTTCAAGGCTGTGACTTTTTGGAAGCAGATCACCAGGCCTGCCTCCTGAGATGCCTCTAGGTAGGTTTGAACTGCCAACCTTTTGACTGGTAGTCAAGTGCTTAACAATGTGTGCTTATACCTCACTAGCCCCACATCTGGTGGTGTGAGCTCCAGAAGACCGGCTGGGGCTTTTGCACCATCAGTCACGCAGCTCTAACTGGCTAAGCTGATGATCCTCCAACAAGTTGTGACAACAACATGCTGACAAGCTAAAGAGGACTGCACTCTGTATGGAGGAGGAATTTGCCTGAAAGCAAAAACAAGAACACAGTTCAAGCAATTAATCATCCTCAGCCCTTCGTTCCCAGAACATTCAACTTTAGCAGATTCAGGAATTTTTACACTTAAAAAATAGTAAGAGGATCACTTGCAAGCTAACACGTCACACCAGCCCGAAGCCATGTGGAATGTTGTCACCTTTCCACTCAAGTTCAGACGGTTCTGACTGAGCAACTCTAAAATCCCCAGCCTGTGATATCCCTGTGCTTTCAGATTATAAATGAAGATGCACTCCTTGGCACACCTTTCTCAAAAAGCCAAGACCATAATGAGCTTCCTGTTTGGACTGCCAGGTCTGCTTGGCTTATCACCGTAAAGAAGAAACCCAGGCCGCGGCTCTGAAAGTTTTATCTGGAGAACATTACAAACAGTTTAGGTCCTTGGGCCCTTAACATCCTCAGAGGACCATAATGAGATCACTAAGTAAATATTTAAGGATCAGCTATTCTTTCCCTGTCATTTCTGCCAAGCTCTGAACACAAGATTTATATCCTTATCTTGTTAAATGAAGACATACAGACAGACCACTGATCCAGACGCTACTGGTAAAATACCCTCATCTGGGACCTAAAGAAAAGGTGAGGACATGATTCTGTCTGCTAGGGTGGAGCAGTGTGGGGGAAACGCACCTTAGGCCACTGGGTCAAGGCCGTTTCTTCTAAGGATAGAAAGCATAACCACTTAGGATTATGTGATGGAAGTTTAGGGATATGCATTTACTTAAAATATTACTAAAAATGACTGTGAGAATACTCTACCACAGCTAGCGGCCATCAACTCAATCTTGACTCATGGTGACCCCGTGTGTGCTGTTGTTATGTGCTGTTGAGTTGGACGCGACTCATAGTGACCCCTCCTTGGGTTTCTGAGGTGGTATCACTACAGGAGTAGATTGCCCAACCTTCTTTCCAAGGAGTGGCTGCTGGGTTTGAACAGCCAGCCTTCTGGTTAGCAGTCAAGTGCCTTAGGCACTACACTACCAGAGCTCCTAACATAACTGACAAACCAGTGAGAATCATGGCCCAGCCAAATTGACACATAACCTTAACCATCACAGCCAGGGTTATTCTTGCCTCACACCTCCACATTTGGTATTGCCAGACATATATTTGTTAATGCACAAAATAGCTGGATAGTAGATTTCCTTTCACTATTATTGCAAATGTGAAATGTCAGATAATGAGATAGTGGATAAGTGAGGAGTAAGTGTATTACGGAAACAGACAGGCTCTTCTTCTGCAGTGTTGTT